GTTACTGTCAGCGTAATGACGTTTAAATATTTATTTCGACAGGGTTAACCAAAACTGTTGGTTTATTAATACAATTAACTTACAATAAATGTTTACTTAAATAGAATTAAAGTACAACAATTGTTCAAATTGACGACCTTCAGCAATAATACAATGTGAAAGATGGGCAATAAATTCTTTCCGGGCGTTTTCGATGACCTCAGATGTTATTTGTGCAACTTCCATTCTGATGCGCTCCTTCAACTCTTCTACATTATTCGGTGGATTTGGATACACTCTGCTCTTTAAATATCCCCACAAAAAAGTCTAATGGAGTCAAATCTGGAGACCTTGGTGGCCATTAGATGGGCTCCCCTAGTGTGGGGGGTACGCCAATATTTTGTATGTTACATTTAGAAGGGTTATTCCTCTGTAGTTCCCACATATTGTTTAATCTCCTTTCTTGTGGATAGGTACAATTGTACCTACATTCCAATCTTCTGGCAACTTTATTTGCTTTTAGATCGGTTCTACCAGTCTACATATACAGTTAGGTTTTTTTGCGATGCTTTCAAAGTTCTGAAGGAATGTCATCTGCCCCAGGAGCTTTGTTTTCTTTCAATTTCTGTATAGCTTGGATGACTTCTACCTCTATTGGGATGTTATCTTTCTCTCTTTCATCGTCAATGTCCTCAAATTGGATTTCTGATTCGTGGAGCCCCGTCATACCTCTTGTATTTAGCCCTTCCTTGAAGTTTTCTGCCCATCTTTCTAGTATCTGGTCCTAATCACCAATGATCTCCCCTGTTATACTTCTAATAATTGATAATCTGAGTTTGAATTCTTTCCCGTTCTGGTTAATGCTCTTGTATAACTTTCGCGTTTCTGCTTGTGCCTTATAGTTCTCTAGTTCTTTTAGTTTACTTTCTATATGCTCTTTCTTCTTTTTTTACGTATTCGTTTTTCTTCTCGTCTCAGCTGTCTATACTCTTCCTCTGTTTGTCTCGTTCTTCGCCCTTGGAGTCTTCTATATGCCTGCTTTTTCTTTGCGTTGCTTGTGCGCATTCCTCATCGTACCAGTCTGAACTTAATTTTTTTACGTTTTTGCTTTCCGATAACTTCAGTTGCCACTTCTTCCAATATTGCTCTACACTGCCTTCAATAGTTGGTAATATCTTCAACTATAACATCCGTGCAGCCTTCCAGCTTGCTTTCGAGACTTTCCTCGAATCTCTTAGCTATCTCAGGGTTCTTTAACGTTTTTACTTTAAACCTTTTCTCTATAACTAGTTTTTCTTTCATTGCATTGGAAACTCTAACTCTTAGTTTAGCTTGTAGTAGATAATCGTCCTAGTCTATGTTCGCCCCGTGTCTTGCACGTACGTCTATCACGTCGTTGAAGTGTCTTGCGTTAACCACAATATGGTCGATTTGATTTACTGTATTTCCATCTGGACTTCTCCATGTTTCCTTATGCATATCTTTGTGCCTGAAGCATGTGCTGACAATCACCATGTTAATTGAGGAGGCTAAGTGTATTGCTCGAGTTCGGTTGTTGTTGTTTGACTCTTCATGTAAACTGTGAATTCCAATGGTTAGCATGTATTCCGTTCCCTTACCTATCTTTGCATTAAAATCTCCTATTAAGACCTTTAATTCATTTCTAGGACAATGTTGTATGATATTTTCCAGTTGTTCATAAAATTGTTCTTTTCGGCTTCTTCCTACAGCTTCTCCTCAGTTGGTGCATGGGCATTTCTCCATTTAAATTTATTATTTTGGAGTTATCATAATTAACCATTATTAGCCATTGTTGTCCACTGCTAAACGTAGGCCTCTCTTAAGATTGTTTACCAGATTACTTACTTCTTATGACGGTGTACTTTGGGATAAAAATGTAAGCAAAAAAAAAAACAAAACCAGAATATATAATACCATTGTAGAAGGCATAATCATGTATAATTGAGAAATATGGTCCCTTAAATAAACGAATATGAAACTGCTACAAGGATGGAGAGGATAGGATAACCAATATAAGAATCAGAGAGATCATGGGAGTAAGTAACAAAAACAGTTAATCTGATACAGTACTTCCTAAATAAATTATAGAATGGAACCCAGCTGAAAGAAGAAAACGCGGAAGACCATGACAAAATTGGATAATCAGAGTAGATGAATATTTGAGAGGTCGACGAATAGAAGAAGATGCCTGGAATGATCAAATATACAAAAGGAAAAAGTTTTTTCCGGGACATTCTGTAAAACACAACTATGCCGTCTATATATTTCTCATATAAATCATCAAATCAAGTGTACATTGGCAATGTCTAACCTATTACAAGACCTTTTTTTATTTAATTCTTGGCACCATTTTTTGGCAGTGGACAGAGGAATTCTTTTCTTACCGTTGGTATTTATAACAAACAAATTTAAACAGCTTTATTTAACCTAATTTATTTACTGTCTCATAGAACGAAATTTGTCGTGTTTTTGTTGTCCATGCATAGTTCTGAACAATTTTTCAGTATTAATGTATCTCTAACTTTCTAAACTCCTAGAAAATATAAATTTACCTCCGGTACTTATCATCAAAGTTAAAAATTTAAAACTAAAGGGTTAAAATGTTCATGAGGTTACCTATTTCGTTTAATTCTGTGTCCTAGGGTGATTTTAAATATGACAATATTTTCAATACCGAATCGTCCAGCTCTGGATTGAGCTTTTTGGTCTGTATTTAATCAGCTCTGACAATATTCTCTCTTCTTCTTCTTCAAAAGCCTATCCTGTATTGATGTTAGCGACTAAAATGGCCTTTTTCACTTTATTTGCTGCTGCTCTAGATAGTATGTGTTTGAAAACACCATGTTTGCCATGACGTTATAAAGTGCGCTTCTATCTACACTGTTATAAGTGCTTTTAAAATCTATGAAGAGATTCCATATATCAATTCCATATTCATATGTCTTTTCTAAGGTTTGTCTGAGAAGAAAAATCTGATCAATTGTTGACCTTTCTTTTCGGAATCCACATTGGTATTTGCCTATTTTTTCTTTAGTATATACTAGTAAGCGATCATAAAGTATATGAGCCAGTACTTTGTAAGCCGTATTTTTATGTAGATTAAACTAAGTAAAGTTATATCTGTACTTTAATATTTTAATTTCTTCACATAATTCTCTCAAATATTTATTTTTTTATGATATTCAACTTGTACTTCCACGTACGATATTAACATGAATTATATCTTACAATAATCAGTCTCGGACTTAAAAAAGTAATTTGGAAAAAAACAAATAGCTTTGGAAAAAGTTTTAATCGTCATTAAAATCTGAATCTGTAATTACATAAACAATATACCTCAAAATTAAGAGTTTAATATTCATCCGATTTTTAATCATATTGTACAGTATTTGTAAAAACAATATTAAATACATTTTGTTAGTTGATTTAAATTAATTGTATAAATACTAAGCTAAATCAGTTAACGATAGAAGAGTTTAATAATAATAAACTCTAAAATATACAGAATAAGTGAATGGAACTTTAAAAAATACTCCAAACTAATAGACTACCATACAATTGCAGCGTGGACCTCAATGCTGCTTTAACAGATTTAAGTCAACTTATTAAAGATGACAGAAACAGCTAAATAAGTACTAAAAATCTCTGCAATAGCTACATAATCTATGACAGAACGATTTATAAGAGAAAATTATTACTAATAAGATGCACAGACGTGCTTATCATAGAAAGACAATTAGGAATTTGATTAAATTAATCAAATTTAATAATCAGAAAGATATTTACAAATATACTTAGACCCAACTAAGCAAAAATGTGAAATTAATAACAGATTATATCATAGTGAATCAAGAAACGACCATAAAAGATGAACACGAAAGGGAAATAGAGTGCGAAACTGATTATCATCTAGTTCGTACCAAATGTTGCTGCTTTAATGTTTTGCCTGTATAAATTGCGTTTACCTAATAAATTGAAAAATGCAAAAAACTTAGCCGCCTTTGAACCTTTCTAATCCCAGCGAAAAGACAAGAAAAGAAAACCTCCCCATCTGGTGAACACCCGCAATAAAACGCTACAAAAAATCAAAAAAGAGTGCATACCACAAATGGCTATCGAAGAGAAAAACTAAAGAAGATGACGAGATAAGCTTGGATAACGTTGAAGGTATGGTTAAACGACTCAAATAAACAAAGCCTGTGGGCCAAAAGATATTCTCAACAATTTTTACACAATTCTTTGAGGACCATGATCTCCCGCTAAAATTGATAGAAGCTCTATCATTAGTAATATCTACAAAAAGGGTGACAGAAAAATTATTAAGAATATAATTGGGCAAGATTTAAAAAAAGTCGAAGAACAAAACCGTTTCAGAGCCAGAAGAACTATGGATAGCATTTTTATCTTGTAATACATAGTAGAGAAAATATTGAAATACGATCTACAGACTCTCTTTTTATTTCTTGACCTAACTAAAGCTTATGATAGTTTTCATGTAGTTTCATTTCAGTTTTGATAAACGATGTAAAAAAGCTGTACAGAAAGACATTAAAACAATATTGACAAACTGGAAATTATCATTGTGGACAGACCGACTACTTCAATGCATTAAAATTGAACAAAAATCGATAAACAAAATGAGTATTTCACAAGGTAATTAACAAGACGATAAATGTTGTATAGACCACCTAGGGAAACGAAGGGTCAAGCATAGTAAGTTTTGTTGCAAACTGTCTAATGATCACTTACTCTCCTATTATTGAAATAATAAAATAAATAAGCTATATATAGTAGCTAAAATAAGATTTGAGGTGACACAATAAATATTAACAATACCTAAAACTTTTAATTAAAAATATGAGAATAGCTCCAACACCTAAACAAATTTACTAAAAATGTTTTTATCTATTTTTTTTTTGTTTTGTATCCATCAAGAAAATATTTTTTATAATTGCTAGGAAACAACGTAAAAAAGTTTTGAGTACACGTTAAATCTAAACTTATTTTTTAAAAACATTGTCAAAACCAACGATATCGTGAACCTTTTTAACAATAGAATTCCTGCCGACTTCATTACTATACCAGTCTCCGAATGGTACTTGGTAGTACCCACTGACCGATGGGCTGAACCCTGTACCAGTACTTGGAGCTCCGTATGCGTTGCTCGGAGGACCATACGAAGGCTTGGGTGGACCGTAAGTCGGCTGGGGCGGTCCATACGAAGGACTTGGAGCACCGTAGGTTTGACTTGGATTAGAATATATTGGAGACGGAGGTGAATATCCCGAAGATCCCACTGAGCTCGGTCCAGCACCGACTCCGGAGGGGCTGTAAGTTATGCTGATGCTTTCGTAGCCGTTAGATGGGCCGTAACCTAGAAGTTAATAACTAAAATATTTATTTTGGATGGTATATAACATTTCTAATTAAGAAAGTTGATAATGCTAACCCTTGCAGTTATATAGAATAATATTTGAAGAACAAACATCATAATGGAATTGCCTTATGGAGGATAAACTAAACATAAAAGAAATTGAGGTCTTTTGTCATACAGAAGTATGCTACATCTGATAAAGCTTTTTGTAATAGATAAAAACTATTCCAGAAGCCTTTATAAAGGAGAACAACACTATTTTCAAAAAAAACATGTGTACTAACAATATTTTCTTTAAAAACCAAATAATCAATAAAAATATTGACAAACCATTTGAAATGAAAAAAAAAATGATAGTGAATGCATAGAAATCCAAATATCACTATTAAAATGGTGTCAACAGAATAAAATCGAGGACTACAACAAGGTCGTATTATGTTGCCAACGCTATTTATTTTATATTAAAATTTGCTAAAATTTGATGTGTACCTCTTATTTTTTAATCCAATTTTAATAACTACAGTACTACGGTTATATTTTAGTTTCCATATTTCTTTGGAATAATTTCCTAACCAAATTCAGCTTGACAGTGATCTTATTTACTGAAGACCTATAATACTGCCAAAAATATGATGGTTTTAAGTATGTAAAAGTTTCTGGTTGATGGTAGACGTAGTAATAAATATATTGCAACAATTCTTCGTGTCTATCATCACCATCAAAAGTGCACCTACTTGAACCTTTTCAACAACATTGTAGAAATAAGCGTAAGGCAGGTGATGACAAAAAACTCAAAGCCACTGGTATTGATAACAGATTTTTTCAAATTATAACTCTGCAAGATGGTGATTTAACATTAGTTTAGTCAAGAAATAAAATTAAAATCACCATAATGACATCCGATCTCCAATAGGAGAGGCACTCAAAGAAGAAGAAGTCAAGAAATCAACTTATAGCAGTCCTAGATACAAATGTTAGTATTTGAACTATTCGCTGAAGATTGAAAAAGTTTGGTTTGAAAGCTTGTAGACCAGTAAGTTAAAACAAATTATTTTCACTTTTTACTGACGAATCCAGATTATGCTTTCATTCTCCAGACGAACAGAGATTTGGAAAATGCACTTCAGTCCCCGTCTAAGCTATGGAGAATATTCAATAATAGTATAAGCAGAAATAAAATGAAAAGGAGTTGGTGATCATCTTTGGATCCTTGACGACCCACTGATCTATTGAGAAGATGTTATTAGACTTTTCATTGCAAGGGAAATGCATTTCTAGTACTAAACAGTTCAATGCAAAAACAGAAAGAAATGCAAAATAATCACGACAGCAACAAAAATACACAGTATGCAGCGATTGTAAGGCTTAGATGACGATGATGACCAAATTGATCGATAATGTGAATAATATTTATATAGTTCAAAAGATAATTTACTTACCATATCCAGTAGTATTCTTAGTATTATTTCCCGTTCCTGTAGTATTCCCTTCTATTAACATAGTGATAATAGTTGTTGTGCTAGGAGTTGTACTAGTTGTTGATGTAGTGGTGGTAGTGGTTGCCGTAGTAGTAGTTTGAGATGGATTGTTAGTTGTTGTTTCCTCGTTTTGTTGTTGTTGTCTTTGCAGTATCTCTTGCTGCCTCTGCAGTTGCTCTTGTTGTCTTTGTAAAGCTTCTTGCTGTCTTAAAAGTAGTTCTTGATGTCGAACTTTTAAAGAATCAGTGGTACTTGATGTGGAAGGTTCTGTTCTATCAATATCATACTCAATCTCATCATATTCATCGTGGTAAATAACCTTTTGTGGTTTTCGTGGCTTATACTTGTTTCGATAACGTTTTGGTCTATTAGTAGAAGTTGTTTTGGTCGTGGTAGTGGTACGCCTTTTCTTTTTATAAGGTGGTCTAGTTGTATACTCATACGATTCATAGTCGTACTCTTGACTTTCTCTGCTTAAATCACTGTAGCTGTTACTGATGCTACTTTCGCTTTCTTCGTACGAATCAACTATCGGTCTCTTCTGGTGAGGTACTACTTTTCGCCTTGATTGGTATCTTCTAGTTGTAGTTGTAGGTTCTTCTTCTTCTTCGTAGCTATCATAGTAGTAATCCGGAGTTGTAGTTGTTGATTTTCTCCTTTTTTGGGAAGTATACTTGTTATTTTTTCGAGGTTTCGAATACCTACTTGTACCGCGTTTTACTTTTCTTGATACTGGTGTAGTAGAATTTGCCAAGAAAGCTAATAATCCTACTGGTAATGTTTTGGATTCAGCAACAACAGGTTCGTCATGGTGTGGTTTCTCTAAACTATTGCGTAATATCGATAAAGGAGCAATTTCATCTGTTAATATAACAGGAGAGGGTGTTTCACCCTGTTCAGTACCATCGACCTCTTCACCCTCCCCTATAATTATTTCTGTCGGTCTCTCATTTATATTCACAATTTGTTGTTGGTTTGCTGTTGGTAGGTGATGATGGTGATGAATATGCTGAATGGTACTGTCGGTAGATTCAGAGGAACCAACAGGAGCAGGAGGTCCATAAGGATTGCTCACGGAATTCCAGTAGTTGTTACTGCCATGTATTTGGAGAGGCTGCTTCTGAAGCCATGGCACTGGATCGTAGCTAAGACGCAGAGCTCCAAGGGGTGCGTACTTAGCCAACACGTTATTGGAAAGTACATTTGCAAGTAATAACCCAAAAAGGGGAATGTAACCAAATCTTGCTTGGCGGTGAGCTGTCGGATGTTCAAGGTTTGGTATGACTGAAATAAAAAAGAGTATTATTAGTATTTTAGAAAAAATATATTATAGAATATACTGTGCAATTATAATGTATACCCCAGTTCAGTTATTATTGAGTTATTTAACGTTAAGTTATTGTATTATTTAACGGTTGAAGGGATTTGCTAACCACCTCTTCTAGCAAAAATCTTAAATAAGCAGTGATATTAGACTGATTTCTTTTTTAAAAGGTCATTTAGTTATGTCGATGCACTGAGTTATTTTCTAGGGCAGTGGTCTTAAATTGGTGCAGCATTCTCTGGAGATTATCCTCTTTTTCTGATGTAATTATTGCATCAGTAACATAGCAAATAGTGTTAAATTCGCTACAGCTAACCCCCTGCCAACCTTCATCCAAACCATGTCAACATCGATGGTATAAATTAACCGTCCTCTGTTCCCAGTGGCAGTAATGCATTGGTTAGTGATCCGTATAGTAGTGTATGGAGACTCGGGAGACTGAGACCTCGGAAGAACTGAAGAAGACATCAATAAATATAATAAATAAGACTCTCGAAGGTCATATTAAATCTTAAACAATATATTCCAGAAATAACATTGGTCTACAAAGGCTTGCCAGAACAATTTATAAAAAGAAAATAAAAATCTATCATTAGAGCAATCTAATCTAATGACCAATAAATTCTCATCTTCTCATTAACACTTACGAGTAAAACTAGCGATACATAAGGATTTAATAATTGTTTCTCACAGCTCCAAGAGCTCATAATATACCGGCTATATTTTTACATACAACATGTTTCGGATGAAAGCATACCTTTTACATTATTTGTAGAATTATATATGGACAAAACAAAACAAACAAAACCGACAAACCTAGAATAAAATCAAATTTATATAGAGCAGTATACATAACAAATGCCATATTATGTCAAATAATGGAATAAATGATAAACCGAAGATCTCTGTAGATTCAAAAAAAAAATAAATTACTAGTTATCTACTAAGACTACTTTATATAGTAGTTTCCGTCAAAAAAGATGCACTATTGATAATTTAATTGACTTTAAATTAGACATCAATAAAATATTTACGAATTAAAAAATAAGTATTGCTGGAGATCGACATTACTAAAGCATGATACATATAAGAACACAAAATTCTTATAAAATGGTGTAGACAAATGGGACAATGCTACATTAACAAAAGGTAACAAACAGTTTGTTTTGTTTGGGAAAAAATTGTATCCAGACATTCTAGACCAACGTTCAAAGGATGTTATGTATTGCTGAAAACTTTGCTCGATAATGCTAAGATATTTTCCTTTGATAAATACGGTCATGTCATCTGCGTAAAGTCTTCCTACAACTTATTTCTTTAAGTCTTTTAAGACGTCGTTCATAGCGATTAAAAATAACGTAAGGGTCAGAATGGATCCTTTAATTTAATTGGATGGATTGAATGGATTTAATTGTTTCTTGGTTGAAAATATTTTACCAAAAAAGTAAACATAGAATTCGCTTTGAGATAACAAATTGTGTATAGAATTATCACATTGCCTTTCAAGCCCCAGTGCTTTATTTTATTTAAGATCATTTTACAGCCTGTAGAATCAAATACTTTATTAATGTTAAAATAAATTGCATTTATCTTTGGTAACAAATACTTCGTGAATATGACTTTCTAGGTCAATAATGTTATTAAGTGTGTTTCTGGATGCGCAAAATCCGGATTGTTCGGGAATTAATGTTAGTTCCCAAAAACTATATTAGTTTCTTATTGATTATTTTCTAGCGTTCCCTTTAACATACTTGCAGTAAATAAAAATAGTAACAAATCATTATATTCCAGATTATTCGCGGTAAAAACAAGACATGTCTGACCTGATCAAGCCAAATGTATTTGAAACAAGGTGTTCAATCTGTGCGACTAAACAATCGCGCGACTACAAATCGTAAGTGGATGGCTAGTCTTAACCTCTATAATCAAGACCGGTGCAGGTGTACCCCAGTTATTAATTCTTAAATCTCTTCTCTCTCTTATTAATTCTTTTAATATCTAAGTAGATAAATGACAAAATAATTTTTAATTATTGATTTGCATATTTCTCTCACATCTGCCACTGGGTTCTGGGATTTCTCAATTTACGTGACAATGGCAAAATCGCTGTAGCAGCAGTGTGTTAAAAGATATTGTATGTGCATGTTTTGCATGGGTCTTAATATATGTCGTTCGTGTATATAAATAAAAATAAAGCAAACTATCATTTCGAAATGAAAAAAGCTTACTAAGGAAGAACTACTGGCATTACTCAAAAAAGATAACTGTGATAGTGATTTTGATAGTGATATAGAAACGGATATAGGGACTGAAATTCATACAGAGGAAGATGTGTTGTGTGTTAGTGATAATGGAGGTGACGCTACAGATTCTGATGATCTGTTAGGTCAATCTTTAGATTTAGATTTTTGGATGTTTCTAAAGATGATAGTGAGTGGGCAAAAATTCCATTTGGGTCAAAAGGAAAGCAAGCAAAACATAATATACTAATAATTCCACCAGGTTTGACTACTTATAGTTCTAAGTTTTCACGCATAAATTTTTGAATTGTTTTTTCAACATATATTCAAAAGGGGAATGAATTTTAATTCTATTTTTGCTGAAGATATTATGTGTTTTATGGAGCCAAAAAATATCTTTGTGTCGACCAGTAGTATCAGCTGCACTGTGATGCAATGTCTTTGACAACTTTGAAACAAGATTTAAAAATAAACGTATTGATAAATTAGCGCCAAGTAAGGATGTTTTTAATAATTTTTCAAACTGCCAAAAATCTTTTCGAGGCAGAGCTCCTTGCTTTTAAAGCATATATACAAATTAATCTGGACAAGTAAGGATTGAAAATATGATCGATGTCTGATTGCGATTCTTCATATACAGCAAATATGCAAGTCTATTTAGATTTTGACAAAAAAAAAATACGAGTAGTTAAATATTAAAAAGTTTATATTTTTAGAGAAAGTTGAAAATTTACCAGAGACGTCCTGGACAGAGGGTAGTTACGGATCTAGTAAATAATTTACCTGAAGGTCACTGAATTAGAACAAATAACTTTCTTAGCAGTACTGAATTAGCCGATAAATTGTTGGAAAAAGTCTTAGTTTGTGTTGAAGTTTGCAGAAAAACGAACCTTACATTCCTAAAAAGCTACTTCCTTCGCTACAGAAAAACATTTTAAAAGCATGTTTGCTTTTATGAAAAATAAAACCTTAGGTTCCTCTGTACCAAAACAAAAGCTTCACCAGATATTTTATCGACATAATATAGAGATCACAAAGTAAGTAAGCCGGAATATTATTATAGACCAGAAATAATTTTACACTATAACAGAACAAAGGGTGCAGTAAACATACCTGATAAATTGAAAAAAGAAAACTCTACATAAAGAAAAATTAAAGGGGTGGTCGATGATAATATTTTGGATTTATATGTATTTGTATGTATAATAAGAATCATTTGAATAATAGAAGAATGTTTATGTTGAAATTAGGGGAATAGTTGACTAGAAAAAATATGAATCGCAGATACAATCAGAAAAAATCATTGCATTCTACAGTTGAACAACACATGATTGTTGTTATTAATATAGTTGTTAATTTATGATTTAATAATAATATGTTATATTTTATTTCTTCTGGTTTATACAGAAATCCGTTGAAATATTGGGCAAAACCAAGTCAGAAAAAAGAAATCATTGGTTTGATCATGAGTGCGAAATGGCCAGAAACAGAAAGAACGCAGTATATCAAAAAATCATCGACGCAGGTTGTACAAGGAGAAAAAAGAATAGTATATACGTCTTAGAAAAGAGAAAAAATGTATCCATCGACGTAATAAGAGGGAATACGAATAGTAAATACTAGCCGTCGAGAATTTAAACCACGATTAAAAATTTGTAAGGACACTAACGGTGAAATTATACATGATAAAAACTCAGTTCTCAACAGATGGGCACAACATTTCAGCGAACATTTAAATATAAATAATATTGAAGGAAGTTACAACATAGAAATTCAACAAAATCTACAACGTCAACTACACAATGAAGACCCAACAAGAGAAGAATTATTGTAAAATGCGATTCTAAAACTCGAAAGGCAATAAAGCCCCAGGAATCGATGAAATCTGTTCGGAAATGTATAAAATGAGGTTTATGCAATATCAATGCGGATTTACTGCTGGAATCTCTCCATTGACTTCAAAGCAGCCTATGTCTGCAGAAACATTTAAAATATAAAAATATAAAACGTGCAGTAAATCTTAATATATACAAGACCTTAATACAACCGGTTTTGATATATAGGGCTGAAACGTGGACCTTATCTCCAAATGATGAAAGACTTCTTGGTATTTTTGAAAGAAAAATTTTTAGCAAGATTTTTGGAACCGTAAATGAAAATGGGCTATGGCGTCGACGCTACAACTTTAAACTACATCAGTTATACACCGATTCAGATATTGTGAAAGTCGTTAAAGTGCACAGACTTAGATGGGCTGGAAACATTGCAAGGATGTCAGATCACGAATACACCAAGAGATTAACATTTTCAAAACCAGAGGGCACAAGAAGCAGAGGACGACCACGAATGAGATGGATTGATGATGTGGAAGAAGACCTACATATTCTAAGGGTTAGAAGATGGAGGGAAGTTGCCAGGAATCGACAGGAGTGGCTACTTCCTTGTGAGCAGGCCAAGATCCACAACGGATTGTCGAGCCACTTATGATGGTGATGATGTTATATTTTATAAATATGTATTGTTATATCAATCTTCTAAGTAAAAAAGTATGTCTATTTTTTAACCGTACTATATAAACAAACGTTAATCATGTAAATAAATAAAATAGAACTTCGGAGGCACTTGCAACCCTCTTAGCTTGTTAATATCTATTAAATGTAAGTATTTGATCTCGGATTTATAGACTTCTAATTGCAACCTGGCTGAAAAGATTTTTTTTTAAATTAATTATTTTTTTCTATAATAAAATCAATAATAATTACCCTTATAAATATACCCTTATAAAAGTTTCATGATAGCTACTTTAAATTATGGTCGGAAACTGACCCTGTTTAAATGATAAATTAATGAAATAACTTAATTATCCGCTATCTTTATTGCTTTAATTTGGCAAATTTCATTTGTAATGTCATATATGCCTGGAGCTTTATGATTTTTATTATTAATAATAAATTAAATAGTTCAGCAAATTCTAAATGGTTACTTTATTGGAGTTAAATTTTTTTGATGTTTAGTATTTTTTCTATATTTTCTATTATTAATAACTTTCTAATCAATAACATACAATTTCAATGGCGCTTTTATGAAAAGATTTTTTTTTAATATGCAGTTATAAAATATTTTATATTATTCTTTAGTTAACATATTCTTGTCAATTGTATTCCAAGTTTCAGTTCAAGACTGCATTACTATATTACAGCAAATGGCTTTTCGAATAAATTTAAATGAACTTAGGGTAGATCCATATTACTATAATTATTATTAATGCCTCTTGTATTCTGCTTAAAATGCTTAAATCCATTATTAGTATTTTGGTACAACAGTGGTACAAAATTAAATCACAATATGGTCATCTAATTTGTCAAAAATTAAAATTATATAGCAAGAGATCCGTTATTTGGACAGATTTTCCTGTCAGTTCTTAAAATCTCCGGTCTAAAAGTTCCTTTCCAAAGATACACTATACAGAAGAATCTGTTTAAACACTTACATTGTTCTGTAATATTAAATGCCATTTTTACTCCAACACAAACACTCACATCACATGCTACCTCTCTGGTAGCTTACCTTGCAATACCACTAGAAAGTCAATGAAGAAAGTTTATATATGTTAATGCGGGCTATTTGCAAGAGTACCCTTATATTGATACAATTTTGTCATAACATTTATGCTTTTCTTTTTATCTCTCAGATAAATTTAATTGTTCATCTAGACGTTTAATTAAAGTGGCATATAACGGAAATAAAAGATTTATAAAAAATATTTGTAGTAAGTTAGGGAGCCCATCATAATATTAATAATAAAATAAAATCCACAAGGAAAACAATTCCTGTAGCTGGCTGTATACCACGTATCACAAAAAAAGAGGTTAATCTTTGTAAGTGGGTATATTTATTTAAAAACCCTTAAAAGGGCTACATCAAAAAAACAAACGTTTTCGGATTAAACAGTCCATCATCATGTTTAAAATCTGCTAGGTTAAAATGCCTGAAACAGCTGGAACTCAGTTTCCAGCTGTTCTCCGTGCGTTGAGGTTTCTCCCCGGCTCTGGAACTCAAAACTTTTTACAATGTATGTTACCTGAAGTCATATCTAATTTAATAATGAACATCACAGTTTTTTAACAACAAGATGTATAATCTTTGATAACTATAAGTAATTTAAAGGGTTTTTACCCATGTATTTTGGTGGCTCAGGCATTTTAACCTAGCAGAATTTAAACCTGATGATGGACTGTTTAGTCCGAAAACGTTTGTTTTTTTGATGTAGCCCTTTTAAGGGTTTTTAAATAAATATACCCACTTACAAAGATTAACCTTTTTTTTGTAATAATAAAATGGGGAAGACTGTGTAATCTAATAATATGCTTGCAGTAAGTTTGATACTATTTCGCATATTGGTTGATTATCATTACGATCTTGAAGCTGCCCTAACTCTCCTAACCTATTCTCCCTAATTCTAGTATCAATTGGTGCCACTCTTAGACTTTAACTAATATATCCTTTCTTAATTTTACCTTTTTTTGTCACTTCCCCCATTCATCTAAGCATTTGCGTTTTCGAAACATGCATTCGTTGTACTGTTCTCTTTTTAACTACTAACATTGAGTTCTCTATACCACAACTGTTCTTATTGTAGTTTTCTAGAATTTTTTTTTCAGTTTTGTTGAAATTTCACTATTATAAAACACTCGACTGGGCTCCTTCTATTTCATCGATCCTGCTTTAACTCTACTACATACATTCAAATCTATGTTTCCAATACTCTGTAAAACCAATTCTCCTTCTTATTATTTCAGCTAGTACCAACTTAAACGCCATAGGAAACGTCCATGTCTAGTTTTCTTCAAACTATTTTTCCACTTTTTCCCGTTCCTACTCAATTCTTTAATTGCTCATTTTTTTTGTCTCTTATTGTTTATTTTAAATCATTGTTAGGTTTTTTGTTTTTCTGGAACTGTTTTTTCGTTTATTTCTTATTATTTTTTGCTTCTAAACCAAGTTTCTCAGTCTAATGTCATCCATTGTGCCAATTTGACCTCTTTAATAACTTAGCTGGTTGTGTTCTATCATATTCAATTTGGGTTCCTATTCTAATTCGGTTTTTATCGCGTCATTTCTAACTTTATCAAATTTTGTTATTGCTGACATTCATATTTTATCTGTATTGCACGTCTGTAGTTTCCAGTAGCACCACATCATCTACATATGCTAAACATCGGTGGCTTATGATTATTAGTGTCCACTTTTGTTTATTTAATACAAAATTGGCAATATCTGGTCAATTACTCCTCTATTTCTTTCAAATCCTGCTTGGTAATCTTCCAATGCTTCCTCTGAAAAATGTTCAAATTCAACAAGCCATCTTGTTCCCTTTTATATGTATTGGTAGTAATATTGCTGGAAATATTCGAACGCAGTTATGAGGTCCGAATCGTTTTATAATGCCCCTTTGTCCGCTTCTTGTCGATCGACGATGATAAATATAATAAAAGGTTGAAGTTGTGGAGAAAAATGTAGATCTTATTGACAGCTACTATAAATTACACTATATGATGATGTTAAGGTAACTATTTATAATAGACTGCGCTCACATGAGCTCAAATCCCCAATTTATAATCTCACAAATAATTCATACCTCAGCACAGATGTTATTGCTTCTATCATACTAACAAATTTTGAACTATTAGCTTACATTACAATTTAATCTAGGCCATAATTGCAACACTTAGGAAGTTCAATTAGAAAATATATTATTCGTCAATTTATATAGTTGTAGGTAAATGAAATAATTATTTCATTATAAAAATATTATACGATATGTTTTCAGAATGTTTCAATTATACACGGGAAACTATAAAAGATTAAGAAGTTAAGAATAATGTGAGATTACAAATTAAGGGATTAATTTGTGATTGAACATATTGGCCACTATATAAAAGAAACAGACGACCAATATAACCATAATCATAACACTTATTCACTCGGTTTTTGAATTCACAAGTTGGCCATCATCATGTTTAAAATTCCTGTTATATTGTTGTTGTTCCTTGACCAACCAAAGCATTGACAAACTGCACATAAATACTTTAGCAAATATATACAGGCAAGCGAAAGTTATGACAAAAATTTAAGAAATTACTGCAGAATTTCTCACTAACAGAGGCGTACGACAAGGAGACGCAATATCACCAAAGCTCTTTACTGCTCAACTTTAGAAAATATATTCAGCAAAATAAACTGATAGAACAACGACGTATCCATCTATGGAGAATACCTCAGCCGTTTAAGATTTGCAGACGACATCGTTCTGATCGCTAATTATCCTGCAGAACTATAAGAAGTTTTAAGCGACCTAAATGCAGCTAGCAAAGAAGTTGGCCTAAAAGTGAACTTAAAAAAAACTATATACATGAGCTAGTGGATGTCCAAGATTTACTAATAAACAACACTGCATTGGAGACAGTAGACGAATATGTATACCTGGGACAATTACTACATAAATCTGGCCACTTACTCCCAAAAATCAACATAAGAATGAAACTAGCTTGGGCATCTTTTGGCAAAGATGCAGTTATTTTTAATACCAGGATGCCACTCTACCAGAGGGGAAAAGCATTTGATCAGTGTATACTACCAATCATGACACATGGCTGCGAAATTTGGACAACAAAGAAAAAAATACACAGAATTAAATACCTAAAATGGCAGGGGGCAGAACATTTATTGAGAAAAACTGACAATAGATGGTCTACTAGAATTACATTGTGGTATCCAAGAGGCGTCAAGAGACCAAAAAACGTCCAAGTTTAAGATCGAACTATGAGATACCGGTACAGCATGGCACAGAAAAGCGAATCGTAAGCAGAAAATCAACAACGACTATGTAAGGGAGGCTGGACTATAATTAGTGGAATGCCGTATTATATATCCATATTTTATTATTATTATATATCCATATATTAACCAAAAAAACTTTTTAGAAACCTTCATTATTCAATGTCCCAGAAAAACTTATTTCCCTGGACTATTTATGACAAAATGTACATAGTCAACAGTGCAGAAATTGTCTCATCCGGTAAACATATTAATCTTTCGGAAGTAGCCCTATACCAATATATTGTGTATTTGTAGTAAAAATATTTCATTAATATTAATTTTTATTGTCATTGCGCCATCTACTACCAAGTACTTAAAGCTTAATACGACACGAGACAGGCTCCCAATTTTAACCAGCGTGGGGTGTCGACATCTATTAGCGTGTTTACAAAGAAATACAAATGAGATCAATATTCTCTTAAATTCCAGTTTTAGAATGTAGGATCAGTATTTCGTATTTTTGAATATTGGATATATTAATATATCTAATAGTAAATCTAAATATAGAAATACTCGAGATATAAATATTTTCAAAAGTAAGAGTAATCGTGGGATGACAAAATTAGCTTGGAAGAAAGTAAAAGCAACAAAACAAAAACAAATCAAAAAGATTGAACAATATTTTGTGGAAATAAATAATATTAGTATATAAAAATAAAACAGATACAAACAGGAAAAAATAAATGTGGAGATTAAATAAAGAAAAATTTAGACATTATAAATTTCAAAGAGTAATAGGGCAAAATAAAAAAGAAGAAATTGAAAATGACAACAATATACAGATTTTTTCAAAAAGATATGTCATAAATTTAATCACGCATTCAGGGGATAAAAATAAATTGATTGAATCCAACTTACCTTAGTATAAAAGGGTACACAAAGAAGTTACAGCCCTTTGAAGTTACAATAAAACTAAGTTACATTGAAATAATAAACACATACAAATAAGTCCAACATGACTTTATCATGACCTTAATTTGCCTTATTGTTTCTTTAAAAATTTTTTTTTTACCGGAAATGCGTAAATAAGCTAGCATAACTCCAAATTACAAAAAGAAACAAATCAGTAAAGTATTTCAGAGCTTCAAAACAAATTCCCCCCCCCCAAGCATTTTAGATCCACCACCAAAAGGTACTTTAGGAGAGATATTGCAGCTGGCAAACCTTTCTCCTCGCCTTCGCCAGACACGCTCACGACCATCTGGAGCTTTTAGGCTTACTCTAGTCTCATCGGTATGTCTGTGTTCTCTGGTAAGCAAGGGTTTTTTGGCCGGTTTCGTGTTGCTCAATTCTGCTTCATGTAAACGTCTTCTAATTGTTGGAGACGATATAGCGACATTTCGAACATTTGCTAGTTCATTTTTTGTCAAATTACTGGTGACTCTACTATCTCTGAGAGCACGTTGTCTCAAAAAACGATCATCAATTTGATTAGTGCAACGTTTTTGCCATTACGACCTAGTTTCATTATATCGCCTCACCTTGCGACTGATGTACACGTAACAAACCTGTAACGTATCGCATTGAATACCCTTCATCTAGGAGAGTCGATGCTCACACTGCCTCCTCCATTGACAAATTTTTATGGTGGTTCAGCTTTTTATTTGATTTTTATGCAAATGAACTTCCAAACATG